AGAGAGAGAGAGAGAGAGAGAGAGAGAGAGAGAGAAAGAGAGAGAGAGGGAGAGAGAGAGAGAGAGAGAGAAAGACTTCAAGCAAAAGATGTTAGAAAGTGGTTTCTGACGGAATTTCTTTTTTACTGTAAGCCCCCCCCCACCCCAATCGACACAATTTATATCATCGACGAGCGCGCTGCTTCACTTCATGTCTGGGTTTTTTTTTATTGGGGTTAGGGGAGGGTAAAAAGAACTAGAGAGGAGGAGAGACGAGGAGAGGGGGGAGAAAGAAAGAGAGGGGGAGAGAGAGGACGAGAGAGAGGGGGAGAGAGATAGAGAGGTAGAGGGAGATAGAGAGGGAGAGGGATAAAGAGAAAAGTGAGGCCGCCCAAATGCATCCGATCGTGACCTAGACTAGAAAAGGGAACATGTTTGATCATGGAAGATTTGATCAAATCATGTCAAAATGGTAGATTCTTCCCCTCCAGAAAGGAAAAATCTTGCATACGAGGTTAGTTTCCCGGTTCTCTAAAATTAGTAATATTTATTTTACAGACGTGGCATTTTGTACATAACCACAGAAACATTTTTTCTATCCAATATAACAACCGTTGATTTCAATGAATGCACTTTTGCAATTCGATGTAGCCAGCAGTCAAACGCAGTGACCATGTCCGCTTCGTCAAGAGTCCTCAGCTCATCATTTAATTTTGTTTAGAGCGCAATTATGTCTTCCTCGTCTTTAATTCCATACCCCTTTAGTCCATTTTTGATTTTGGGGAAGAAAATATGAAAGTTACAGGATGCTAACTCTTGGGAATTGCGGGGATTTTCAAGGATTTCTTATTGCTAGGAATCCAGGAGATCGCTGACCCTTTGAGCTGTGTGCACAGACGCGTTGCCATGATGGAAGACAGCATCTTGTTCAAGCAGACCCGGCCGCTTTCTTCTGATTGCTGGTCTCAGCTTTGTTTGAAGAATCATCTTGTAGTTGTCAGCACTTAAACGCGCAACCTGACAGATTAGGGCTAGGTAATGCCGACTTTAGACCTTTCAGGAAAATGTCTCAGCGAGACAGAAGAAAAGCTGCAACAAGACATATGCAAAAGATGGAGGCAGAGAGGCGAGAAATTCATCTCATCCAGTGTAGCCAGCAAGGACAAACGACCAGATGGGAAGAGCATGTAGTGGAAAGAAAAATCGGGTGGAGTGACATCTGGAAGTGGAATACATCAAGGCTGAGCTTTCTTCTCCGGTCTACGTATGATGTTCTGCCTTCACCGGTGAACCTTGTCAGATGGAAGGTACAGGAGGACAACAAGTGTAGATGCGGTAAGCTAGGAACCATGAAGCATATTTTGTCAAACTGCAACCTAGCTCTTAACAGATACACCTGGAGACACAACGAGGTGTTGAAAGTGCTCACGAAAATGGCGACACAACAGGTGGAAGAAGGAAAATATGCCCCCAAGATACAGAAGCATGGACCCACCAAGATTGCGTTCGTTCCGCAAGGAAGCAAGGTTGCCAAAAGAAAGAAAGCGAACGAAGCCATGAAAGACCAGAGCAGAGGCACATGGGAAGTAGCTGCTGACTTAAAAGGCTTTGAGAGGTTCTTCCCCATTCCAACTACGAAAAAGCCAGACATTGTGTTATGGGAGGAAAAAGACAAAGAGGTACACTTGGTAGAGCTCACGGTGCCCCACGAGGACAATATCTATGCCGCTCATGAGCGGAAAGAAAACCGTTACGAGGCACTCGTCGAACAATGTGAGGAGGCAGGATGGAAGGCAACCCATTTTCCGGTAGAGGTAGGATGCAGAGGTTTTGTAGCAACAAGCGCCCGTAAGTGGATGAGAGTGGCAGGACTTACTGCAAAGAAAAGCAACGAACTCACAAACTCCCTTCAGGAGACAGCAGAGAAAGCCAGTCATTGGATCTGGTTGAAGCGAGAGGACTCAAGCTGGAATGAATCCTAAAGTTGGCAGCAGAGGAAAACAGTCGAACTAACATGGAGACCTCACATCGGTGAGGGGGCTCGGTGCGTCAGAAAAGCTGTAGAGAGGAAGAGCCCGAAACAGCGACGCATTCTCTCCTGATGATCTCCATGCTAGAGTCCGGGATACGGAGCGTTCGACGGTGAGCAGTGCATACGGCTGTTTAGACTACGTATGTGTCAACGAAAACCACACCTTTGGGATAAAAAACATGCATCACTTTCAAAGCACCATGCTTTTTGTCGCACTCTCTGAAGTCGTGGGCTGTGGGGTTTCTCCATTCTGCCGATTGTCTTTTCAGTTCTGGAGACGAAAGAGAAATTGTGCTCGAAATTTGATAGGAATCTGGCTGAAGCAGTCATGGTCACTGTGTTTGACTGATGGGTACATCGAATGAAATAGTGCATTAATTAAGTTTTACTTTTTCCTCAATGCTGTTATGCGTTTTCGTCTACATCCAGATTTTTTGAGGAGGCAGATCGGATCGTAAAGCCTGGGGGTTCCCTCATTCTGTACAGCTT